GAGGGAGAGAGGGAGAGAGAGAGAGAGAGAGAGAGAGAGAGAGAGAGAGAGAGAGAAATGACCACGACTTTCAGAGAGGGTATTAAAGCACTCACTTCTTGTTTCCAACTACATTTCTGGGGAGAACAAATTTTTTTTTTTATATACTTCAACCAAAGTGACATATCACAGCAGACTGAATGTAGGAACAGATAATCCAGCTGTCTTCTGTTGGGTGAGACATTAAAGAAACCCATGGGCACCCTCACTCATCCCCGCCTAAGCGGCCCCAGTTTTCTCTCTAGGGTCTTGGTCTCAGGTCCTTCCCTTTGCCAGGGGCGTCTTCTTCCCCAGTGGCTCATTTACAAATCCTGCCTGTCCTGCTGTGTTCAGCTCAGGCCTTTCCACCACAATCCGTCTCCCTGGGCTCTGTTCCCGGGCTTTCCTTAAGACAGAGAGCATTCTGCCTTGGGTGATTATTAATGTGTCCCCTTATTTTCTTTGAGATAGTATTAATTTCTGGAGATTGAGATTCATCTGATTTACATTTATGTTCACCAAGGCAGTTGACATAATGCTTCATACATGATAGCTGATACTTGTTGAGTAAAAAGAAAATGAGTGAAGACACACACGAGGCTTTACTCTCACTGCTTGATGAGGGGACCATCTGTCCAAATAGATGAGGGAATAATCTGCCCTCAAGGCTGAAGGACAAATTAGGTGGCCATCTGAAGAGGGCTTCTCTCGTCCAGGGACTTTATGGCATTTGCCATTATTTATTTATTCATTCATTTGTTTTTAACTGCGAGAGGCTGTGTGTGTTCCCAGAAGGACAGAGAAAAAGAAAGGAAAGGGAGAAGGCACCCTCCAATGGGGTGTGGTCGCCCTGCGAAAATCCCCTCTCCATTTCTCCATTCTTTTGGGATTTGGGGCATGTATGCATGTACACCTGGCATTCCTTGAGCCACTGTGGCTAGGATTTGAGCCATAGTTGGCCATGTGGGCTGTGGTTTCCTTAACCACTAGGCTACAGGCCTGGACCTGTTTATTTTTTTTAAATACAAAGTGCATCCATAGACTTTTAGCCTTTTATGGCAATGTATGCTTTTTACTCCATTCAGTTAATATAAACTTCCTGTTACAGAGTTCCATGCTTCTGGCTTTCTTGTTTCTCCCGTTCTTTACTCATACCAGTAATCTCTCCTTAATATACATTTATTGTCCTCTGTTGCAGTTTTGGGTCTGAGTCTTTATAGAGGTCAGCTCAAAGGTGAGAAATGTTTTGTACTAGGAAAAGATAGAATGCCTAGAGAAAACCCCATTGTTCCTCTGTTCTCACATCCAAAGGAAAAGGGATTGTTGGAATTGCTAGAGGGAGCAGAGACCTAGAGCCCAGTGAATAAGAGAATGAGCTGTGGGGTTAGACTACCTGGTTCGGATCCTGACTCAGCTCTTGGCCAGCTGTGTGACTTGAGCGAGTTATTTCCTCATTCATAAAGTATAACTCACAGGGCTGTTTTGGCAATCAAAGGTGATAATGACTGCAGGCACTTGGTGCAATGCTGCGCGCTTGGTAAAAAGCAGCTGTCACCATTAACATTCTCTTGTCCACCTTCTTCCCACCGCAGATGGTTCCAGACCTTGATCCACCTGTTAAAAGGCAACATCGGCACAGGACTCCTGGGGCTGCCGCTGGCTGTGAAAAACGCAGGCCTCTTGGTAAGAAGCCGCATCGGTAGGAGGAAGAGGTGTGACAAATTTTATAGGAGATAGGTTTATTTTTTTATTTTTCCATTTACTTCATTTAAGACAGTTTAAGTGGAGAAGATTATTTATTTATTTATGTTGAGAGAGATTTTTGCTATAGGTTGCGGGCTCTTACCAGAGAGACAGAGATAGAAAGCAAGAAATCATCTTCCAGGCGGGATGGCCACACTGCAATCCCTTCTCTTCCATTCTCCTCTTGGGATTTTGGACATGGATGCACATGAACCCAGTGTAGGTTTCAAGTCTCCAGGTCTGGGATTCGAACCACAGTTGACCATGTGAGAGTCCAGCACCTTTAGCACTATGCTACCTGCTGGCCCCTGGGAAAGCTTATTTTTAAAAAGAATTTAGGCTGAGGATAAGTAAATGGCAATGTTCTTCCATCTGAAGATGTTACTGAGGGCCTCTGTATGCCAGGCACTGTTCTAGGTTCTTAGACTGCCCCAGTGAATTAAACCAAGATTCCCACTCCATGGAGCTGGCTTTGTGGTAGAGATGTCCTCACAATGGGTCAAGCAGTTTCCATGAAATGAATGAGCTAGTGTCAGGTGTCTATCTGTTTTCTGCACAGTCCCTCCCCGCCCTAGCCCTCAGTGGCCAATTCTGAGACTCTTTTCTATAGATTGCCTGTCCAAAGCCACTCTGGCTTCTTGTAGAGTTGGAGGTAGCCGAGAAATGAGGATTTTCCTTTGCCGAGTGCTGTCGTCTTTGATCCGGCATTGTTGTCCATGCCCATTGCTCCCCACTGCTGTCCCTCAGCCTGCCCCTTCCTCCTATAGGGCCGCAGGAGCCCGCTCTTCTGCCGACTTGCACAGTCCTGAAACAGGCTCACCTTGAGTCCTCCCCATCCAGGAGATTAAGCGTCTGAGGCCTGTGAGGGTTCAGATAGTGACCCCTCGCAGAGCCAGGCTCGTGACCGTGTCTCCCGTCCTGATGCCGCACCAGAAGTTTTCTCATGGCAGAGCGCTTTAGCAGCATTTTGGTCATTTGCAGACTGGGTCACTGTGGGGCTCATTTCTAATTCCCTGTGTGTCTCTTCCTCTTTTGCCTGCTGCGCCTGTTCCCAGATGGGTCCCCTCAGCCTGCTGTTGATAGGCATCGTGGCCGTGCACTGCATGGGAATCCTGGTGAAATGTGCTCACCACTTCTGCCGCAGGTGAGCTTCCCCCGGGCTCCCCGACCCGCCCAGGTGACAGATCACCCTGTAGGATTCTGTTACTAGCTCTGAACGTGAGACCTGTGCACTCACTCTCGGTTCTTTACACGGGCTGGACATGGCTGTTCATTATCACAGCGTCACCTTTCTCCGGTTATCCATGCACTTTCTTCCAGCTCATTGTCATCTGTGCGGTGTACTTATGTCAGGGGACAGAGCCCTGTATGTGCTTTGTAGTGTTTACCCCACTGAAATGATTCTACCAGATAGCCGTCCATTGTAGTGAAAGTAACTGTCCCGTGAACTTAACACCTCTGGTCCTCGAAAGCATTAGCTGCAGGACTAAGAGTGGTACTTCCAGGTTGGCAGATGGGGAACTGGCCCAGGTCTCAGTGGCTATTCTGTTCTGTCACTGTCGTAGTCTAACTTACCGGCCTGCTCTTCCTCCCTCCCTCCCTCCCCTTCTCCCAGACTGAACAAACCTTTCGTGGACTATGGGGATACGGTGATGTATGGACTAGAATCCAGTCCCAGCTCCTGGCTCCGGAACCACGCCCACTGGGGAAGGTAACTGGGGTCCCCTTTCCCTTCAGCCGTGGCTTCTCAGTGGAGACCTTCGGCTAGGGGTATGCAGTGGGAGACATGTGAGGAAAGGAAAGCGTTTTCATTTGGGGTTAGGGGTCTTGGGCTCTAACTCAGCCTTGTTGGGTAAGTTCTGTGATCCCCCTCGCTTTCTCATCTGGACTACGTGGAGTCGGGCCAAAAAGCTCTCTCATTTACTTGCTTCACTCATTTGTTCAACAGATAGATTTAAGCACTCTCTTAGAAGTGACACCAAGTTGTTCTGAGTAAGGAGAGGAGACTCCCTGTGGTAAAATATGTAGTCCCCACTCTCCAGAGGCTTATAGTCTGTGTAAGGAGAAAGATGTGTGCAGGGAGAAGCCAGAGAACTAGACAAGAGGTCAGTAACGGTGTCGGCAGGGAGTGTCATGAGCTAGAAACGCATCCTCGGCCCTCAGATGGGAGGAACTGTGAAGACTCTCTGCCCCAGCACCTCCCAATGAGAAGCGAACGTGGTAGGTGGGAGAAGGGAAACTGTCAAGGGGAGCGGAGGTGAACTAGAATAAGACGTGGAGAGGGTTTGTTTGGGGGAGCGGAGTGTATGGCAGTTTCTCTTTATAGTAACTTTTCAGATGCCTGGGAGAAAATATTCTACTTTTTTTTTTAAGAGCAATTTTTGTTATAGGGTGCATGCACTCACTGGAGAGACAGAGAGAGACAGAGAGACAGAAAGTGAGAAATCACCCCCCAGGAGGAATGATCATGCTGCAGTCCTTTCTTCATTCTCCTCCTGGGATCTCAGGCACACACACACACACACACACACACACACACACAGCGTGAGTTTTAAGCCGCTGGGTCCGGGACTCAAACTGCGGTTGACTTCATGGGAGTCTAGCAACATAACCATGACGCCATCTGCTGATCGCCGTCCCCTTTTTGTTTTTAAGAGAAATGTTTGCTATAGGGTGTGTGTGCTTGCTGGAGAGACAGAGGCAGACAGACAGACAGTGAGAAATCACTTTCCAGAGGGGCTGCCCAGACCACAATCCTTTCTCCAGTCTCCTCTTGGGATCTTGGGCACACATGCACATGTGCCCGGCGTGAGTTTCAAGCTGCCAGGTCCAAGACTCGAACTGCAGTCAGCTATGTGAGAGTCCAATGACATAACCATTATGCTCCCTGCTGATCTCCATAGTCTGCTTTTTGTTTCCTATATTTTTATGTAGGGAATGATAACCATCAAGGACTGAATCCTTTTATCTTTTTTTGGAAAAATATATTTTTTTATTTCTTCCATGAGTGAGAGAGACAGAGACAGAGACAGCACCCCAACAGAACTTTGACTCTGTGACCTACCCCCACTTTGGCCTGCCCTGATCCTTCACAGACATGCACACAGATGCCTGGTGTACTCAGGGAGGTCTCTGGATGTGAATCCGGAACCTTCCCCTGTAGGTCCACCTCACAGGATTTTACCACTGCACCACTGTCTACACTCCCTGTTTTTAAAAAATTGAATCACATTAAAACTGAGTTCACAGGACCAGCAGTTGGCGTAATGGCTATGTCACTGGACTCCCATGTAGTTGATCGTGGTTCAAGTCCCGGACCTTGTGACTTAAACTTACACCGGGCGCGTGTGTGTGCATGCCCAAAATCCTGAGAGGAGAGTGGAAGAGAAGGGATTGCAGCATGGCCATCCTCCCTGGGGGGTGATTTCTCACTTTCTGTCTCTCTGTGTCTCTCTGTCTTTCTGGCAAGTGCACACGCCCTATAGCAAAAACCTCTCAAAAAAAAACCCTAAAAAAAAAACCCCCAAAAAAAAAAAAAAAAAAAAAAAAAAAAAGAAGGAAAAGAAAAGAAAAACCCCAAACAACTAAGTTCTCTAGAAAAGTTTCTTTTCATGGTCAGAGAGGAAACCTTTACCTTCATTCATAATTGGCTTCAACTCTGATGCCGATTTTGTAATTCTTTTGGCAAAATTACCTTCTGTAATGCGAAAAACCACTGTACCCAGGGACCACCGTAGGTTGATTGGTTGTCCTCCCTCTCCCTCTATCCTTCCCCTCTTCCCTTCTTCCCTCCCTTTCTCTATTAAGGAAATGTGGACTCTTTTAATGTGTTCTCACAGTAAAAGCAGTGTTTGAACAAGAGAGAAGGTAGAGGGGAAAGTAAAATAAATTCTAGTCACAGTTGCACAGGTATGTTTGTGCAGCATTTTTTTCTGCAAGCACACAACCTGTTCTTTTACTTCTTTGGATAAATCAGCCATGCTGTGTATACTGTTTGGAACCTGGTTCTCCCTAAATGTCTTAGACATCTTTGTCTATCAACACATACAGATGTAATGTATTTTTTTCTACCCGCCCTATAATGTTTCAATTAAGAATGGTCTATAATTGTATCATTTTCCTTTTTGACGATCTTTTAGCTTGTTACCAGCTCTTGTTCTAACAGTGCTTCAGCCAGAAATCTGCTTGGTACATCTATTTATGTGTTCTTGTGTGAGACTAGGTAGTTCTTGGATCCCAGTTACAGAAAGAAATACTGAATGTGTCCACTTCCTGGTCTTTTATGCTGAGGAATCCCAGTTTTCGGAAAAAAGTTGTGAAGTGGGTTAAATGGGTAGAGAGGAGGCCAAGAGCCTGGGCAGGGGTCCAGTGCTGTGCTCTGGTGATTCCCTGCCCTCGTGCAGCTTCTGGACAGGAAGCAGGAAGGGGCCCTTGGAAACCACACGCATAACTGCCCCTTCACCTTCCTCCAAAAGCTCCAGACTGGTGGCACCTAACATGGTGTCTCTTCTACCAAGATCTACTCTTCCTTGTCCCCTGATGTCTTGGGGAAACGCAGTGTTTAGAATATGCCTCTCCCTGGGAATCTTGCTCTTTATTGTAACGGTCTGTATCTTTATCCTTCCTGTCTCCAGGCACATCGTGGACTTTTTCCTGATTGTCACTCAGCTGGGATTCTGCTGCGTCTACTTTGTGTTTCTGGCTGACAACTTTAAGCAGGTAGGGTCCTGGTTAAAAGAGAAAAAGAGAAAGAACTGCAGAAGATAAGTGGAATTTTTGCTTAGGATTCCTTCCAAGACAGAATTAAGGCTTTTTTACTTTGCATAGAATCATGTCTTTTAAATAATTTTTATATTTATTTCTTTCATGAGTGAGAGAGACAGAGAGAGAAAGAATGCATTCTAACAGGGTTCCTGATGCCTCCTTCCACCCCCAGCCCTTGGTCATGGACATACATGAACCTTGTGTATTTAGGGAGGTCCCCGGATGCAAACTGGGAACTTTCCCATATGGATCAGCCCTGCGGAATGTCATGTTTTATGTCCCTGCCACTGTCTGGCCCTTAGAACTGTGTGTCATTTTATTTTCGTTTAAAGACCTAGGGCATAGAGATCTCATTTAAAGACCTAGGGCACAGAGAAACTTCTGCGTGTTGTCCATCTGCTCTCAGGTAAGACATGATCAGATCCGGTTCAGGCCCTTATCACACATCTGAGCCTTCATTACACATCTGACAGATCCACCGACCCCGTGTGTGAGAGTCTTTTCCTTACCCTTCTTCTCCTTGTTCTAGGTGATAGAAGCAGCCAATGGGACCACCAACAACTGCCACAACAACGAGACGGTGATCCTGACACCCACCATGGACTCGCGACTCTACATGCTCACCTTCCTGCCCTTCTTCGTGCTGCTGATCTTCATCAGGAACCTCCGGGTCCTGTCCATCTTCTCCCTGTTGGCCAACATCTCCATGCTGGTCAGCCTGGTCATGATCTACCAGTTCATTGTCCAGGTAGGAGCCCAGCCCTTCTCATGCTCCTGCTGATGTCAGAGACACCAATAAGCGAGTTGTTAGCTGTTGCTTACGTGTGGTGAAGTGAGACTAGAGGCTGTTAACTGGCACTATTGACATTTGGGGCCAGATCCTGCTTTGTCCTGGAGACTGTCCTGTGCATCGTGGGATGTCTAGCAGCATCCCTGGACTCTGCCCACTAGGCGCCATAGTGACCACTCTCACAGCTTTTTTTTTTTTTTTTTGAGAGGTTTTGCTATAGGGTGCATGTGCTTGCCAGAGAGACAGAGCGACAGAAAGTGAGAAATCACCCCCCATGGAGGATGACCATGCCGCGATCCCTTCTCCTCCATTCTCCTCTTGGTATCTTGGGCATGCATGCACACGCGCCGGTGTGAGTTTAAGCCACCGGATCCAGGACTCGAACCACAATCGACTACTTGGGAGTCCAGTGACATAGCCATTACACTAACTGCTGGTCCCGATCACTCTCCCAGCTTTGACAACCCACAGTGTCTCCAGACATCACCAAACATCCCTGGTGGGCAGTCGCCCCCTTGGAGATCATTGACTGAGACCTTTTTCTGATTTGATTGTTAATGTATGATAATTGACTCTATTGGGGAATAGGAACAAATATTTAGGTGAAAACAGAAGTCAGTTTTTCTCACTTCTATTTAGGTAAAGGAACTTCTTACTGACTCCAGTCTTAATTTATTTGTCTTCACCCATGTGAACATTCCGTGGGGTGGCATGAGATGGACAGAGGATCAGGCTGAGAAAAATGTGCCTTTGAACACCGTGGCTTGTAAAAAGAGGGTGCATTTACAGAGACTCAAGAAGAGAAAAAGAGTAAAAACATATTTTTTTTTTAAAGAGAGATTTTTGCCATAGAGCACATGTGCTTGCTGGAGAGACAGAGAGCGAGAAATCATCCACAGGGGGAGATGACCACACTGCAGTTCATTTTCTTCTATTTCTTTTTTGGGATCTTGGGCATGCACGCACAAGCATCTGGCGTGAGTTTAAGTCACCAGTTCAGGACTTGATCCATGGTTGTCTACATGGAAGTCTAGCAACGTAACATTATGCCATCTGTTGGTTCCAAAGCATAACTTTTAAAAAGTTACTTAAATTTTGTTCATTAAAATGCAGACAGCACAAGTACTTTTTGTTTTTGGAGAGGTTTTTGTTATAGAGCGTGTGCGCTCGCCAGAAAGAGAGAGACAGAGAGACAGAAAGTGAGAAATCACCCCCTGGGGGGATGGCCACGCCACAATCCCTTCTCCTCCATTCTCCTCTCGGGATCTTGAGCACACATGCACACGTGCCTGGTGTGAGTTTAAGCTACCAGGTCCGGGACTCAAACCGTGGTCGACTACATGGGTGTCCAGTGACACAGCCATTACGCTAACTGCTGGTCCCCACAAGTACTTCTTGAATACCACATCCTCATGCTAAGTCTCCTACTCTTGGGGACCCACTGTGTGACCGATCTGTCTCATTCTAGGTACTATGACTGCATTTACATGTTACAAAAGGATGTAGAAAAATACTTAAAACAAAAATATATTTTGTTTTTAGAGAGAGATTTTTTGCTATAGAGCGTATGTGTTCACTGGAGAAACAGAGAGAGACAGAGAGATAGAGAGGGAGAAATCACCCCCCAGAGGGGATGGCAATACTACAATCCCTTCTCCATTCTCTTCTCAGAATTTTGGGCATGCATGCACAAGCGCCCAGCGTGAGTTTTAAGCCACCGGGTCTGGGACTTAAACCATGGTAGACTACATGGGAGTCCGGCAACATAACCATTATGCCATCTGCTGGTCCTGTTTTTGTATTTTTAAAACATAATTTAAAAATATATGTGTGTGTTGTTCATCTCTCTTGCTTTTTTCCCTTGGAGAGCTTTCCAGGTTGATAGATCTGACTCTGCTTCATCTTTTTTTTATTGCTACTTAGTATCGCAGAGAACAGGGTGCCGTCATTTATTTAACCAGGCCTCTATCAGTGAACAATCAGGTCGTTTTTAACTTTCAGTATTTTTTTCAGCATTTAGACAGTGAGTATTCTTACACATTTCTTTTTGCAAACATGTATAAATACTTTGTCAAGATACTTATCTAAAAATGTAATTGCTCGAGAGTATATGTTTTTTCATTTTTCTATATTGCCGAATGCTTTTCCTAAAGCCATTTACTAGTTTCATACAGACTTCCTTCCATGGGTTATAAGTGTCGGTCTTCCCTCCCTAACCAACACTGGATGTATGAGTCTGTCTAGCCTTGGTCAGTCTGACAGGTGAATGTTACCTCATTTTCACAGTCTGCATAACAGTGACCCAGTTACCCATTGATGTGGTTTCTAGGAACACAGAGGGTCATAAAACGCAGGGCTTCCTATACTAAGGAAATGACATAATGAATTTAGATTAGCCTCGTCCTCCGTGAGCATTTACTGTTCTTGTCGTGACCAGTCAGATGGGTGGCAGATATTGACTCTTCTTCTGCAGAACTATTTTTGAAAGCATAAAATAATCAGCTTTTCATGTTCCACATTTTATGGGACTAGAAAGAGGGCCTATGAAGGCATGACCCACCATTTCCATTATCAAACAAGGAGGGGTAAACAACACGCAGTTTCTCGGTGTGATTGGAGCTCTCGGGAGCATCTAGGACACACTGTTTAAGACGAAGAGAGTGAGGCCACTTCTCGTAGACACGCACATGTGCCACTTTAAACCACGCAGATTTTCCATTTTAAACCACTGCAGATCACTGGAACTGTGGCGGTAGCCGTGGTCAGAGAGCTGGGATGTAGCATCTCAGCCCCAGCCGATGGGAAGCATCCATCCCAGGTGATGTCTGTGCGTAGTACAAGCTGTAAAGGGAGGTAGGCTTCCTGCCGACGATCTAAGAACAGATCTGAGCTTGCCTCTGAGCTCAGCCAGGATGATCCCCTGCCTCTGTCCCCAGTAGAGTCTGGAGAAGAGAAAAAATACAAAGGTTAAATGTTCTAGATCATCTGCCAAGTATCAGACTCTCTCCTTCAAGAGAATCTTGGATTTGGGAGCAAGTATGGCTTCTCTGATTCAGGGTCAAATCTTGATTCTCTGTATAGCATTTTACTTTGTTTTGTTTTCTGTCTTGCAGAGGATCCCAAACCCCAGTCGCCTTCCTCTGGTGGCACCCTGGAAGACCTACCCTCTGTTCTTTGGCACGGCCATTTTTGCATTTGAAGGCATTGGAATGGTAAGAGAGATGCCCTGTGATTTGGACCTGAGCATTCATCTTTATTTTCTGAGACTTTCTGACCAGTTAGTGAATAGAGTTTCAGGAACTCCCCTGAAGTTTTACAGCTCCAACTTTTGAAAATAAATTACGCGTAATTTTTAAATGCTTACCTTCAAAACCCCTCAGTTGCTCCCTCGTCTCCTGTGTGTGCAGTGAGCAGGGGTCCACAGCAGTCAGAGAACAAGGGCTCTGGAGTCCGACGGACTTGGGGTAAGCCCTGTCTCTGCCAGAGTGGCCGTGTGACCTTGCATAGGTACTTCACCTCTCTGAGCCTTCACCGTTTGCTCCTGGTAAGTGAAATGAAGGCTTGATAGCAGTTAGGGTTGGATGTGTAAACTGCTTTGCACATTCTATGACATATAGTAAATGTCCAATAATTTTTTATTTTTTATTTTGTTATTTTATCTTCATCTGCCAGAGAGTATAGGCACTCACCAGAGAGAGAGAGAGAGAGAGAGAGAGAGAGAGAGAGAGAGAGAGAGAGAGAGAGAGAGAAAGTGAGAAAATGCCTCCTTATGCTTCTTCTGCTTTATTCTCCTCTCAGGATTTTGGGTATACACACGTGCACCTGGTGTGTCACTGCTGGGTCTGGAACTCAGCTCAGTCACCCATGTGGGACCCAGCTGCTCCAACCACTGTGCCAAGGGCTGGCCCACACTTTTATTTTTTATCAATAATATTATTGATCTCATTATTGCATCAATAAGCATGTGAATCCTTTCTCTGCCATGGGACACTGGTGTGGTGTATTTTCTGTGTACAAGTGAGCAGCCTCTCCTTGGCTCTGATCCCCCGTCATCGTTGTGATGTCACCACATTGTTTTCCAAAAGAGAAATCTGCCACTCGATACCGAATTTGATTTGTGTTTTTCATACTGAAAATCTGGAATTCTTCTCTGAAGAAGTTTTTCGTTTTGTTGGCCACGGGCTTGGAAATGAGAGGACCCTGCTCCTTTCATAGCATGTCTTATTCTCCCCATTGCATTTATTTATCCTCATATTTACTTTATGGAAGCCACTTTCATTGTCAAAATACCAAGCGGCACTGATGGGATGTGTCGAGGCTCTGAGGGTGCTGGGGAGGCTGTGCGAGTGATCACTTGGAAGTGATGGCCCTGATGTTTAAACCTTTCCCAAACACAAATGGTTTCCTGCCGGGGCAGAGTCCTGAGTGGGCTCGTGTTTCATCCGTGAGAAAGCGGTCCCAGGAACTCGGCTCGGAAGATGAGGTTGAGAAAGTGTGGGAAGGTGCCCAGAGACCCCGGGTTCCTGAGCAACATTGCGTGGTTTTATCGATTTCCCCTAACAGCACAGAGCAGACGTTGTTCTTTGCTTCCTTTTATAAGCTGAGGCTTGGATAGAGTCATTCTGCAGCCATTATCTGTTCCATCCAGACTTCTTTGTGTTTTCCATTTATTTTTATTTTAAAATTTTTTCTGGTATTTTCTATTTTATAAATAGAGCGAACATTGCTGTGCAGACTCTTAATCTTGGACCTAAGGGCTGTTCCCTGTCAGGGTAAAAAGCCAGGCTACACGCTGTCTATTCACTGTGCTCTCTGTGTTTACGCACCTGGCCAGGCCTGAGAGGACGCAGGGCAGAGGGACTCCCTGCTCTTTGGCTCTCTGTGCACTTGGTGTGGAGGAAACTGATGGTGAAGTGTAGAAGCTGCTTCTGATTGGATGTGGGTTAACTGAAGCTCGAGACCCCAGAGGAAAGGTGGGGGATGCTGCGGGCCAGATGGAGGGGCAGATCGTGGTGCTCCCGGAGCCCTGGGCCTACGGCGCCCAGCATGGCCTGGTCTGCTGAGTGGCCACAGTGCTGCAGGAAATGAGTGTAAGAACAAGATCAAAGATTGTGGTGGAGAGGCGCGACATGGCATGTGTTGCTTTTCCTCGTTAGCTGGGCCAGAACCAGTTGCCAGCAGATTGTGAAGGTCATCGCAGTCACACCTGTCTTCCCCACTCCTAAGTGAACTCACCTTCACAAGGGGCCTTTCCTTTGCTTTTGCCAACATGAAAAGATGTCCCCTGTCATGAGAAGGGGAGCAGCACGGGTCAGGGATTTGAAACAGGAGTCCAGAAAGTGAGTTTTTTTAAGCACTCGAGTTTCCAGATCTTCTACGGGGTTCATGACATTTCCTGCAACTCAGTGTCTCTAATTTAGGTTAGAGAATCCTCTCTAGGTTGAAGTTGGCACTGCAGGTGCCTGTCCTTATTGAGGTAAGGAAGCAGTGTCTGGGAACTTGAGGGGCATTTTCCCTGACCTATATTTGCACTCTGTAGACAGATTCGCAAGGAGCTGTGAGCTCCGGTGAGGTGCCAGGTGGGTGTGATGTGGAGGCTGCTGGTTGCCATGTGGCTGTACTCTCAGGGCACAAGGCACTCCCAGCCTGCAGGGATCCTGCAGCAGGAAGCCAGGGCATTGGCCATGGCTGAGTGGGCTCTCGCCCTGCCCCTCCCTTACCTCTTAGGGCTTCCTGGTCTGACAGTGGACTCTGGGGTCTTTTCTAGTCCTGGGAGTTTAACTTCTGATGAAATAACTTTGATTTGTCTGTCTGTGTAGTGAAGGACAGATGTGCTTTGGGGAAATTGTGGGGATAAAGACAGGTTACTTTTTCTGTGGTGTTCGTTTCTTTGTTGGTTATTAATTTTGGTTTCTTTGTGCTTTCTCCCTTCACTCCTCTGTCATAGGTCCTACCCCTTGAAAACAAAATGAAGGATCCTCGGAAATTTCCACTCATCCTGTATGTGGGGATGGCCATCATCACTGCCCTCTACATCAGCCTGGGCTGTCTGGGGTACCTGCAGTTTGGAGCCAACATCCAGGCCAGCATAACTCTCAACCTGCCCAACTGCTGGTACGTGGGGAGGACGGCAGCCCAGGAAAGCTGGATATTTCTGAAATTAGCGGATCCAATGTGGATTCTTCTTACTCATCTCTGAGAAAGTTGCTAAATTCATCAAGTGACAACTTCAAAATGAGTTTATTCATTGATTTCTTCCATTAGAGAAACAGAAAGAAAGAGAGAGAGACAGACAGGCAGGTATCCCAACAGGGTCTGCACACCCAGTCCCAACTGACCCAGATCAAAGGTGTGTGCAGCTTGCTGGGGGGTCCTGGGATGCAAATCCAAGACCTTTCTCATGTGGGTCTAGCCACCCCACCCCTGCCCCTTACTTACCTCTTAAATTAACCCCCATCCTCTAGCCCCTACTGTTACCATCTCCAGCCACCACTGTCCCTCGCTGGCTGCCTGAACTTCTTTCTTGGTTTTGGCAAATAGTTCCTATGGAGGCTTATACTAATCTGTGGTTGACAGTCAACTGACGAGCCATTTTTCCTTGGAAATCCCAAGCCTGGAAGGGCCAAATATCTAGTCCATTCACCTTAAACCATTCCAAGTAGACAGAGCAAGGAGGGCAAATCTGTATTTTTTTTTCTTCTTAAGAGATATTTTTGCTATAGAGCACATGTGCTCTCTGAAGAGACAGAGAGACAGAAAGTGAAAAAATCACCCTCTGGGGGGATGGCCACATCTCAATCCCTTCTCCTATTCTCCTCTAGGGGTTTTGGGCACGCACACACACATGTCCAGCGTGTTTTATGCTACCAGGTCTAGGACTTGAACCATGGTCGGCCATGTGGGACTCCAGCGACATAACACTATGCCATCTGCTGGTCCTAGCAAATCTGTATTTAGTTAGCAGCTTCTACTGTGTCTCTGCCTTGGCAGGCACAGGCTTGAGGTGCAGAGGGGAGTATCCCACTGCAGACCAGGGGTTGTAACCTCCTTTCATTATTATTATAGTGAAATCTTAAGATATATTGAAATGGTTCCTAAAAACATGTCACTGGATGTATGTTTGCAAACAGTTCTTTCTCTCTCTTTTTTAAAGAATTTAACTTAATTTAATTTTATTTTATTCATCATTATCATTTTTCACTTTGACCAGAGAGAGACAGAGAGAGAGAAGAAAGGTGAGAAAGCAAGCTGCCAAGTCCAAGACTCGAACCATGGTTGGCCCTATGGGAGTCTAGCAGTTTAACCACCATGCCACCTGCTGGTCCTAACAGTTCTATTTTATTTATTTATTTATTTATTTATTTATTTATTATCATCATAATCTTATTTATATTACATTGTATTGCATATACCTTTATAGTGTATTACATTGCTTTTTCAAAAGGGAATGCCATGCATGTCAGTCAATACAGAGACATTAATCTTCCCACTTCATTATTCAATATCTTTTCATTGTTTTTTCCAATCATTATTATTATTATTATTCCAATTATTTTTTTAAAGTCAATCACTATTTCTCATTTTGCTTATAAAAAGACTTCACCCATCATGAAATACTTCTCAGCCAATCCAGTTGAGAATACTATACATGTCATCATCAACAGGTAATAAGACATATCTGTTTCCCACTAATGTCCTGCCTCTGTATTTGTTCACTGCTATTTTTCTCTATACTCTTCTCTTCACCCCCCCCCATTTCACACCGTCTTATTCCCGTTAAGTACCTTCACTGCTTTTATGTCCTCCAATATTTCGCTCTCTACCATAGAGTGCAGATAGTCGGTATATATTAAGTGGATACATACAATATCTTTCTTTCATAGTCTGGCTTACTTCACTCAGCAATAGATCCTCCATATCTGACCACTTTTTATCAAATGCAAGGGTCTTGTTATTTTTTTATGGCTGAGTAGTACTCCATAAAGTATATATGCCACGCTTTTCCAATCCATTCATCAATTTGTGGACATTTAGGTTGGTTTCATGTCTTGGCAATTGTGAATAATGCTGCAATAAACATTGCAGTGCAAGCACTTTTCCAATAGAGTGTTCTCCTGTCCTTTGAGTAGATACCCAGAAGTGGGATTGCTGGATCAAATGGTAGTTCTATTTGTAGATCTTTGAGGAACCTCCATATAGTTCTCCACAGTGGTTGAACCAGTTTACATTCCCACCAACAGTGTAGGAGA